GGTGAGAGGCACTCAGAAATGTCCTGGGGGTGTGTGAGGGGCACTCAGAAATGTCCTGGGTCAGTGGGGCACTCAGAAATGTCCTGGGGCACTCAGAAATGTCCTGGGAGTGTGCTTGGGGCAGTCAGAAACATCCTGGGTCAGTGGGACACTCAGAAATATCTTGGGGGTGTGAGGGGCACTCAGAAATGTCCTGGGAGTTTGTTTGGGGCAGTCAGAAATGTCCTGTGGAGCACTCAGAATGTGTCCCAGGAGCCAGGGAGGGCCTGTCTGGCCCCACAGTTCAATGTTTCTCCCACCATGTGCAGCAGGGCTCTGGGTGTTTGGAGGAGCAGCTGGGGGTGGGTTTGGCCCCTGGGCCCTGCAGGAGCTGCAGCCTGGGTTTGTGCTCTCCACCCAGAGCTCCTCACTGGGGTCCCCAGGAGGCTCAGGGGCAGCTGAGGGCTGGGCACACACCTGGGCAGGCCTGGCATGGGCTGGGCTGGCAGCAGGAGAGGGGCAGGTTTTGTTCCTATGCTGGCAGCTTTCCAAGGCACTGGGGGTGCCACCAGTCCCGGCCTCACCTGGCAGGAGAGGCCCTGAGGCTCTGTGCCCTCCTCTCCCTCTCCCCATAAAGGGGCTGCCACAAAATAGGCCCTAAGGGACCACTTGGGTTAATGGCAGGTCTGCACCCCCAGGACACCTGGCTCTGCTTTCCCCATTTAGGGAAGCTAATTTAAATTCCAGCCACCAGCCCAGGGACCTTTCTTCCTCCTGAAGCAGAAGGACCTTGCAAAACCCAGCCTGTGTTGTGCATGGAGAGTGCATGGCCCAAACCTGGCACGCAGGAGGAACTGTTCTGGGGTGGCCTGACTCACCTGGAGGGCAGCACGGGTGTTTCCTGGCAGGACTTGGACTTAGGGGTTTCAGTGAAGTAGATCAGGAGAAGGGGAAGGAGAAAGCTGCAAATCTGAACCTCCAGGTACCTGAGCCTCCTTTTCCTCTCTCCCTGTTTAGTGGTTGCCACAAAATAGACCCCTAGTGACCACTTGGCCACATCACAAGTCTGGATCCCCCAGGACACCTGGGTCTGCCTTCCCCCTGTCTCCCTTCCTGGCTCTGTCTCCATGGCTTAGAGAAGCCTCTTCCCACCCTCCAGCTGCTGAATTTCCTTGGAGTGCCAGCTCCAGGGATTCCTGGGCTCTCCATCCCTTCCCAGGCTTGCCTGTGATGCCAGCATTGGTGGCATTCCAAATAAGATTCCCCTACAGTGCCATAAAGCATTGAGTCCATAAATGACCCAGCCCCACTGTGTCCATCCTAGAAAAAGAAAGGCCTAAGGAATGTGGCTGTTCCAGACCCCAGGCTCGCTGTTCTCCTGGAAAGCCTCATCAGGCTGGTGGCACAGAGTGCTGCCTGACTCAGGCTGAGACAGCTCCTCAGAGGGAGCAGGATGAAGGGGCTGTCAGCACTTCCCAGCAGCTCAGGAAGCTCAGGCACTGTGAGCCCATTGTTCACTGAACCCTCCCTCCCCTCCCCTCTGTCCCAAACTCTCAGATTTATAAAACACCAGGGCTGGGTTTTTTGGGGATTTTTTGAAGTTTATCAGCGAGGGGTTGCTCCCTAATACATCATATCTCAAACACAGCCTCCCTGAAGCCTTGCTCTCTGGGCTGCACTCAAGGATTTGGGATGGTGCTGTGGGAATCCACCTGGGGGTTTTCAGGCTGGCTTCCTGGGAAGGGAGTCTGTGTGTCTGTCCATCTGCCCCCAGCAATATCTATCAGTCTGTTCAGACTAAATATGCCCCAGAGGTGCTGGGAGGGGATGCAGCTCCAGGGGAGACAGGGGCTGTCTGGAGAGCTGAGCACAGAGTGCCAGGGAGCAGCCAGGGCTGATTTGGGGTGAGGGAGTGGAGAGCAGGGCTCAAAGGGCCCAGAGAGCAGGGCTGCAGCCTGCCCCCACAGCCTGGCTCCTGGGGAAGGCAGGGCATCTGGAAAAGGCAGCTAAAACCTGAAGAAAGTGCATTTATGCCTGGGAATAAATAAAATGATATTTAACCTTCTTGCCAGGCGCGCTGTGAGTGCGAATGTTTGCAAAGCTGTGAGATCCTCGCTTGAAAGGTGCTGTGAAAGTGCAAAGCATTATTAATATCCTTTACCTTCCTCCTAATAGACTGAGCATTCATGCTGGGGAATTTCTGGACATAAACCAGACAGCTGCAGAATGACAGTTCTTGAAAGCATCTATGATTTATTTTCTGCTCTTTAATTCCATTTTGTATTGAACACACATTTGTCATAGGGCTCTTGTTCCATGGGGCCTTTTAAGTCTAAACCAGACTCAGGGACCTGATCCTTTCTGGGATAAATTTGCCCCACTTCACTGTAGCCATTTGCTGATTTACACCAGGAGAGAACCCCAGTCCAAGCCTTTTAATTGAATTTCCATCCTATGACAAGTTTTGGTGTAAAATCTGAGTGGTTTAAATGACAGATAAGACCATTCCTGTCACTGGCTGGCTGCAGTTCTGTAAGATCTCTTTGAGCCACTGGATGTCAGGTCCTGGGAATGATCCTGTTTTTGCAGGAACCTGCAAAAGTCTGGAGGGGTTCCCTGGCTCTGCCTTTTCCATTTTGCTTTAAACACATTCAGCTTTTGAGCCTGGGCCTGGAAGCCAGGAGGGCTGGTGTGGTTCTTTCACGTTGCTGAGATTTTTGTGAAATAAAAATAGCTTCCTGCATTTGGATTTTTCTTTTTTTCTTTTCTTTTTTTTTTTTTTTTTTTTTTGAGGGGAGAGAAAGAGTTGGAAACGTACAGTAGCTGAGTGCACACAGTGTTTCAATAGCAGGGTTAATTATCATATTTAACCCTTCTTATTATGGCCAAGTCACACTCAGGGTTGAATCTCACCCTACAACACAAGGCTGCCCCTATACATCTCCACACTTTGCTCCATAATCCATATTTATAGAGGAAAAACTGAGGCAGAGAGACTCTGTCAGCCTGAATTAAACCTGAGGAAGAAAAGAAGGAAGATCATCTCTCTAAATCATGGCCTATTTATTTATCCGAAACATGCTGATGACTCTGGATCAAGCAACCCCTTGTAGCAGTTGATTCCCTTGAGTCAATGATCTGGCCCCCCAAAAAAATCAGAGAAAACTGAAAATTTTCAGTGAGTTCCACTACTTTTTGGGAAGGAAATGTTCCCCTATTTTGAAAAGGAATTTTCTTTTGGAAAAAGAATTGCTGCCTTCCTTTAACAGATCATCATATGGCATTTCCATTAATGTTACATTACAGAACTGTTTATGGATTGAACAAACCAAAATGTCCATTAACATTTCAGTTGCTGGACATTGCTGAGGGTTTGCTTTTCTCAGTGCAGAACTTGGGTTTTCCAAAGCGTTTCCCCAAACATGGCTGTGCTGTAATACCTCAGAGGGATGTCCCAGGGGAGCAGGGGAGTCAGAGCTGCCTGCAGGGAGGAGATGGGAAAGGCAGGGCCTGCCCTGAGCCCTCCCTGCTCTCCTGCCCTTGGGAGAGCTCTGTCCCACTGGGATCCACTGGGATTGCAGCCAGGGAACCCCCCTGCAAACAGCCCTGGTGTGGAGCAGGGACAGCTGCTGGGGCTGGGGAAAGGCCCCA